GAGGGTCTTAATTTTTTTGAGGTGCAGGAGGTGGCAAGCACAGTCATCTCATGACTGCTCAGCCCCTTAACCACGGCCTGCAGATCAGCTGAGCCAGTGAGGCCTGGGAGTTCTGTCTCTTCGGGTGCCTGGAGATGTTTCCAGCACACTTGCCAGCCCTAGCCCTGCCCATGGCACCAGGCAACTTTGCAGCCAAGGACCCCTTTCTTCTGCAGCTCACCTTGTGGCTATGCAGCAGATAATGACTATGGTTTATGTTCTGCCAGGAGAGGGGGGGGGGAGAGAGAGGGTTGGAAGGAGAGGGGGGGAGGGAGAGAGAAATGGCAGAGAGGAAACCCTTTCAAACAGCATTGCCTGCCATTCTTGTTATTCCCCTCCACTGTTTCTTTCTCTCTCGTTCTCTCATTCTCTCTCTCTCTCACACACACACACACACAGACATTTGATGGCTTGAAAGGGACAGCCTGTACTTTGCTTGTACCTTAAGCATGCACTTCCCACAATCTTGTCTCTCTTTTCATCCTTTTCTCAAGCAGCAGCACTCGGGTAGAGGTGGAGGGAGCCGATTCCGATGGGCCACATGGCTTTCTGCCTCGTCGTAGCAGCAGCCTGAGCAATGCCTGAGCTCCAAGCCTGATGGAGCACAAACCGTGGTCACCGCCTGCTCCAGAGCCATAAGTTGAGCTGTGGAAGAAAGGAACCCTTGGCTGCAAGGTTGCCTGGTGCCATGGGCAGAGCTAGGGCTGGCAAGAGTGTGTTAGAAACAACTCCAGGTGCCCGAAGAGTCCGAATTCCCAGCCCTCACTGGCTCAGCTGATCCACGGGGCATGGTTAAGGGGCTGAGCAGCCATCAGGTGTCTGGGGAAGGGAGGGGCTGGCCATGACACCCCCCCCCCATTTCACTAGGCTTATTTTGGGGTAGGGTGTATATTAGTCCCACCCCAAAAAATCAGGCTTATTTTCAGGGCAGGTCATATTTTCAGAGAAACATGGTATTAGATTTAGTCTTGGCATCTGGGCATGAAACATACTTTGTTATTTTAAATGGATAAACCTTTTCAGTCACAGAACTAGCCCAATGATAATGACTTCTGCCTTGGGAAAAACTGTTTTAGATTACCATGATGCACAGCAGATGGGGCTTCTCTTGAAGGAATTTGGAGGTTTCAGATAGTAACAACATGGCATCTAGATTGTTTCTTATCACATGGAACCTACCTTGTTTTTAACCTCTTTAGTTACTTGCGGTCTCCCAAATAAAATTCCAGGTGCTGGTGTTGAATATATAAAGCCCCATACAACCCATGAACACAGTTCTTTCTGCCTTGTCTATCATGAAGAGTGAAAAATGTTTCTCCAAGTGTTTCTTCTCTTATAATATTCACATATCATTAGATATCCTGTTTGTAGAAAGCCATTTTAAGGAGTATTTACTTGCTACCTGGTACACTGAGTTTAAAATGCCAATTTCAATTAATCAGCTCAGGGCTTTTTGGTAAACTGTCAACAGATTATATCCAGATATGTCAGTACACTATATGTATTTCCTAATTGATGGGTTCAGGGCCATAGCAATAGCATTTAGAACATATATATTACCCCATAGTGCCTTACAGTATTCTCTAGATGGTATATAATGTTAGCATTATTTGCATATTGTCCCCAACAATTTGGGTCCTCCTTTTACTGACCTCAAAAGGATGAAAGGCTGAGTCTATCTGTTGGGCTCATGATGGAATCTATGAGCCCAACATTCAGGCAGGGTGTCCCAACAATCACTAGCCGATTCTCTTCATTTTCGTGGCGGAGCTCCTACACTAGCCAAGAGGACACTGATAGAAGCGACACTGATCAGCGTTGATACTGTGGCTGCATGAACCTGAGTGAAGCCAAAAAGATGGACTCACAGCTGTTTGGTGGTTTCGGTGTGACAGTTGGAGCGTGCTGAGAGGAGCAGCAAAATGCGGGAGCACTGTTGGCATGGGGTTTACCAATAGTCTGAGACTATTGATTGTGTGTACGAGGTGTTGGGAGGTGTAAGTGGTGGTTTTGATTAGGCAGCATTAGGTGCGGGGTGGGGGCGATGTAGGTAAGGGCAGATGTAGATGATAGGTTTGGTTAGGTGTAAGTAGGTGTAAGGTGGAGGTGCGGGTAAGGAAAGGCAGATATAGGTTAGTGGGTGGGGTTGAAAGATAACTATAATAGGTGCTAGGAGGCAGTAGCTCTCAGAGCTAGCTTTGCTTGAAATTGATCCAGTGCTGCCTTTTGGGACTGTTGTGAGATAAACTGAAGAAATAAACCCTGCTTAGTTCAACCTCTACTTGTGAGTACCATGGTTTGTCAGTGAAAATTCTCAAGTGCCCAGCAGGGCTGACATAAAAGCTAGTGCTGAGAGCTACCTTAATTCCCATCGGGACTCTGTTGTGGGCAGAGTTTACCTGCAACACTGCATTCTAACCATGGCTCCACCAGGCAATAGCAGCTGACTTCCAAGCCACTATTGATTAGGTGCCCTAATTTGTGTAGGATAGCATAAACATCCTTGAGCAGAGTATACCAAAACTAATCACTACTGTCCTTTTAATTGGCATGAAATGATGTATGTGTCCAAGCATTACTATGACTAATTACTCTTTAATTCCTTTATTAAAAAGCATCATGTGAAAGTCTCAGGTAATGAAGGGCATGATGACCAGCAAAGGCCAATAACTATGAATCCATGTGATGTAGATCAGGGCATATAAAAGTTTGTGACTTGGCATGTAAGAGGACTAAACACCAAAGTGTATGCATTAACAAATAAAATGAAAAAATGAAAAAATATCTGTATGCAGCGTGAAACTAAAAGGAAAGATAAGGATGCAAATAAAGATTGATCCAAATAAAGATTGAATGGTTTTTATTGAAATGGAGTTGATTTATACATGAATTTATACACAAAAATAGGAATCTATAGAATGGTGACAGTTGCAAATTAAATTCCAGTGAATGGTGATTATAGAAGAACAGAAGAACCATCTTGGGGGAAATAATACAGCATTCTGAAAGAAATCTTATCTGGATGAAAACATTATTCTGTTAGGTGACATGAATAGCTGGTAGGAATGGGAATGCAAATAACCTGACTGTGCTTTTCAGAAACCCAAGAAAGAATGCGAATGGGGATCTATGGTTACCTGTTGTTGTTTTTTAAAAAAAATGCCTGTTTTAAGTATAAAATGATTCATACCTATGCATGTCAAAAGAATAAATCTAAATCTAAAAGCATGACTGATTGGATCATTTCCAAAGAAATACTGAGAGAATGAATAAAGTATGCGAGCACAATGAAGACCCAAAGTCCTACTATCAGTGGTGGGATTAAAAAAAAATTACTACTGATTCTGTGGACGTGGCTTAGTGGGCATGGCTTGGTGGGCATGGCAGGAGAAGGATACTGTAAAATCTCCATTTCCTCCACACTCCTGGGGGAAGGTTACTGCAAAATCCCATTCCTCCCCCACCCCACTAGCCTGCTTTCCAGCTCCATTCTCCTGTGTAGGTCAATGAAAGAAGACCCAGCCGATCAGCTGGGATGTGGGAGGCAGAGAATAGATGGGGGCGGGGCCAGTCAGAGGTGGTATTTGACAGTTCTCTGAACTATTCAAAATTTTCGCTGCCCACTAAAACAAGCATGCACCGCTATCAGGCAGCAGCAATATACACTGGAATGGGATGGTCATCTGAATGACAACAGCAAAGGCAAGAACAAACAACTTTCATATTTTATTTAAAAAGAAAATTGGATAGATAACAAGATAAGGTGAAGATGACACAGTGTTGGATGACATCCTTGACGTAGCTAGGAATCTTGCTGCTGGTGGACCAATGCAGAAAAAAAAAAGCTGGAAAAACAGAATTCAGTGGAAAACTAGAAAGATGGGCTTTAAGAAGGGGGAGAGAAAAAGAAAAAGAAACAAATATATATATAATGAAGAGGATGTATCAGTTCTGTTGAAAAAGCATTAGTAAATAAATTGAATAAATGGCCAGCGGACATAAAGAAAAAGATATGGGAGTCATTTGAAACAGAGTGAAAAATAATGTGTTACACATTATCATGGAATTATGCTAGTGGGAAGGATGATAAAAATCTGCGGTGGAAAAGTGACATGAAAAAAGTATGTGGGTAAGGAAAAATCCATATAAGAGACTGGTTGCTGCAAAAATTAAAAATAAATATTTTATAATACATAGAGAGAGAAAACTGAAGTAGTCAGCTATAACAAATCTAAATAAGTAACGTGGGAATTGTTTTCAGTGTTTGACAATAAGTTAAGAGTGTTAGATGATGCTAATGTGTTTTTACTGCATTGGTGAAAACAAAACCTATTTAATTTTATACACTGCGATCTTACAGCTTAAGACAACTCAAAATATTTTTGCTATCTCAAATGATTTTTTTAAAAAATTATTAGCAGTAATCGTTACTACTCTGTTGACCTCGGGAAAAAGATAGACCTGAAATTTTAGTCCAGTTTTACCATGATATGACAACATAGATTAACTAAACATTTTTCTATATTTGTCCTTCTCCTTAAAAACTACTTGATAACTTATTGATCCACTTGAACGTAAATATACGAACTTAAGGGAATCCCTCTGAGTAGAGATATCAATGATATAATATCAACTTTCAAAGCATCTGGTTTCTCATGAAAGCTGATATGATTCACTTGCTATATTTATCTTAGCAATTGTTTTTTAATATATATTAAGATTCTTTTTCCACCCAGAATCACTTGTTGAGATACAGTAGATGGCCATACAAATTGGATGGATGGATGGATGGATGGATGAGTGAATGAATGAATGAATCTGCTTTCACCATAAATCCACTTGCATTTTTTAAAAAATGTCTTTAAACAAAATGCTTTCTTGTGCCCTAAAGAAAAGAGGTGCTCCATGTGTTGATAGGGCAGTCACAGATTGTTAACTGATGGTGCATCTTCTCATAACAGGAGCCAAAACACCTACATTGAGAAGTGCTGGAAAGATGTTCAAGTGGGGGACTTCGTGCAGCTGCAGTGCAATGAGGTCATTCCTGCTGATATTCTACTGCTCTACTCCTCTGATCAGAACAGGATCTGTTACTTGGAGACCGCAAATCTTGATGGCGAGACCAACCTTAAACAAAGACAAGTTGTGAAAGGCTTCTCCCATCAGGTAAGCAACTTTCCTCTCTCTTTTTGGTAGAAGAGAACAGGATCACCACCTCCTTTAGTGAGGGAAGGGTGCAATGGTCCCAGGCTTCAGATATGGAGAGAGGCATTTTCAGTATGTTTCAGAATTTAAAACCATTGATTATTTTTAGTCAAGACTAGAAAATTAAATAATTAAATATAACCCTCCCACCCCCTCCTTTTTTCCTCTGCATTTTAAGTGTTTCCTGGAACACTTAAAACACTTTTCTAAGCAGCAAGATAAGATCATAAGACTAAACACTTAGGGAATAATTTATATCCACCTTTGTTTGCAAAATGCATGAAGATGGGACCATTTCAGGTGCAGGATTCAACATTCCTCAGCACTCTTCTATGGAAATGTGATATGGAGGTCTTGTGAGACAGCCTCAGGTTCTTATTCCAAGTTATAATTCCTGGAATGAGAGACATTAATAGAAGAGCGCAGAAGAGAGGAGAAATGTAATCTTTATAACATATCATCAGTTGAAATGTTACATTAATCTGATATAAAAACTGGGTTTTGAAACATAGGTTTTGAAATTTTGTCAGCACAGGAAGGGGAATGCTCTACTCCACACCTGTACAGAAACTCCCAGTCTGTCAGCAGTTTTGTATAGACTGTCAGACAAGGCTACAATTGGGGGGAGGTGTGAAAAAGCAGGTGATTTATTGTGCTCCAAAAGGATGGGCCAGATTGCAGGCTGCACTGTCAGATGGTCATCGATGCTGTGCAGACCGATTGATGGGTTATATCAGTGGGTAGAGCCTGGGAATGAGGTTCTAAGTTTATCCCTAACCAAGACACAGTCATTAATTTCAAGCAAGCCATTAATGGTCCAGAGATATATCTTGATGAGAATGTTGTGACCACCAGTTTAAATAATCCAGCAAGCAAGCAGTGACCTTTTTACCAAAATGGAACATTTCCCTGCACCTTCACTAAGTTTTCTTCATAATCTTTTTTTCAATAACTGTTTTATTTATAATAGTCAGAGAGAGAGAGACAGAAAGAGACAGAAAGACAGAGACAGACAGAGAGACAGACAGACAGAGACAGAGAGAGAGACAGACAGAGACAGAGAGAGAGAGAGACAGACAGAGACAGAGACAGAAAGAGAGAGACAGAGACAGACAGAGACAGACAGAGACACAGAAAAACAGAGACAGAAAGATAGGGACAGAAAGACAGAGACAGAAAGACAGAGACAGAGACAGAAAGACAGAGACAGAAAGACAGATATAGAGACAGAAAGACAGAGACAGACAGAGACAGACAGAGACAGAGAGAGACAGAGACAGAGACAGAAAGAGAGAGACAGAGACAGACAGAGGCAGAGACAGAAAAACAGAGACAGAAAGATAGGGACAGAAAGACAGAGACAGAAAGACAGAGACAGACAGAGACAGAAAGACAGGGACAGAGACAGACAGAGACAGAGACAGACAGAGACAGAGACAGAGACAGAAAGACAGAGAAAGAGACAGAAAGACAAAGACAGAGACAGACAGAGGCAGAAAGACAGATATAGAGACAGAAAGACAGAGACAGAGACAGACAGAGACAGAAAGACAGAGATAGAGACAGAAAGACAGAGACAGAGACAGACAGAGACAGAGACAGACAGAGACAGAAAGACAGAGACAGAAAGACAGAGACAGAGACAGAAAGGCAGAGACAGACAGAGACAGAGACAGAAAGACAGAGACAGAGACAGAGCGACAGAGAGATGAAATTTGCAAAAGAAAAGAAAAATCAGAAAAAAGAAAAGTAAGTATAATAAAGGAAAAAGAAATACAGAAAGGAAGTGACTTCTAACCTTACCGTGTATAAATAACTTTAGTAACCCTTCACTCCTATACATAGGAATATATGGTATTGTGTTTTTATTCAAGTGCATTTTAGGGACTTAGGTGAATAAATCCAATTTAAAATCACTTATTTTGGGAGAAAACTAAAGTTTCATGCACCCACTGAAAATGTTAATATACATGTCCAATTTTTGATATAAAATTCAGTGGAATATGAAAAATAAATATTGAATGTCTTACCTCAAATTTAAGCCGGATTGGCCAGAAATAATAGGTATTTTCATATTGCTGTTCCCACATTAATATTTTTTCAGAAGCAGTATAATGATTATTTCCTTTTATCCATTTTATATATAAATTATATATAAATATTTGTGAAATATTTTTAATTTTGAAAGAATATTATTATTTTAATTATAGAGTGATTTCTCAAGCACATTAATGACAGGTCCTGGTTAAACACAAAAAAATAAAGGCAGCATCATTTAGACCAAGGATGTCAAATTCAAGACCCATAGGCTGGATCTGGACTCTGTGGTGCCTCTGCCAGTGAAAATGGAGGTCGGGAGGACCATGTGTGGCCCTTCCAAACTCCGTTTTTCACTGGCAACGCACTGCAGGAGGCCCCTGCAGGTGCCCCGAACACAGGTGATATTGAGCTGGCCACATCCACCCTGGCCATGCCCCCCTGCCCTCCCAAGATCAAATACAACCCTAATGCAGCCTTTAATGAAATCAAGTTTGACAACCCTGATCTATTTTTAAATGTTTCTTTTTTCACTGCTACAGATTTAAGCTCTTCTAGCCTTACCTATGTTGTACCTTCCTCATTATGTTGCATTCCAGATGTGTTGGATTTCAGTCTTTGTAATTATGGACATTGGAGTCTAATAAATCTAGATTGTACCAACTTGGGGTACATTGGATTAATTTATTGACTCCACTCAGCTACTGTTATATTACAATAAGTACTTGAATGGGGTCACATTTTAGATTCATTCATGCCACATTAATCTGCAGTTATCACTTCTCACCATTGAAGGAATGTTGGGACAGTTCTTAAAAACCAGCTAAAAATTATCAATTTGCTTATCCAAACAAATTATCCATCCAATTATCAAAACAAATCACTAATTTTGTTTTGTTTGTTTGTTTACAGAATATGGAATTTGAGCCAGAACTGTTCGAAAATATCATTGTCTGTGAAAAACCTAACAATGATCTCAATAGATTTACAGGCTACATGTAAGTTACTGCAGTTTTGATTTTTATCATTCAATCACTATTATCAGAGCCAGTAGAGAAAAGGGGAAAGTAATAAAATATGTATGTGTCATGATTTCACAGCACATTTTATTACTTTTCATTGTTGCAGTTTGTAAAGGATGCCACAACAACATTATGAGATGTGATGTGATGTTGTATTGTGTTGTGTTGTTATTGTGTTGTGTTGTATTGTGCTGTGCTGTGTTCTGTTCTGTTCTGTTACATTACATTATGTTACATTGTGTTGCATTACATTCAGTGGTGGGATTCAATTTTTCTTACTACTGGTTCTGTGGGCATGGCTTGGTGGGCACGGCAGGGGAAGGATACTGTAAAATCTCCAGTCAGATGTGGTATTTTCCAGTTCTCTGAACTATTCAAAAATTTTCTCTACCTGTTCTCTAGAACTAGTCAGAAGCTGCTGAATACCACCTCTGGTTACATTACGTATGTAATGTTATGTTGTTATTTATGTTATGATTGTATTCTATTCAAAATGTTCTGAGATATTGTGAACAATTTATATAACTATTGTTGTACTCTTGCCAAGTACGCATATAGTCCAGAAATAAATACATTCAGCAATATTTTCCTATATTCATTCTTCCTCAGTGAGGATTAAGACTGAATAGATTGTTAGTATTGCTGATTTTCTTCTGCAGAGAACTTTGTGTTTGGCTTTAGCACTTTAAGAATAAATTTTATTTTATCCTCTACCGAAGTATCCTTATAAAGTGGAAGCAATTGTCATTGTTTAAGTATGGAATTAGATGGATTTGTGTGATTTTTATAGGATGAAGGCCTGACATCTTCAGAAAGAATTTGAATGAGCTCAGGAGTTCTGCAGTGCAACCTATGTCAGAATTAAAGATTCAGAGATTGCACCAGAGGACTATTTTGTGACTTCATTTCAAAAAGATGCACTATAGAAACAAGTCAAACACATTTCTACAACTTCTGCTTTTTTCAGCTTAAAGTCCTCTTAGGACCTCTTTAGGCTTTCAAAAATACAAATGTGGAGGACAATTAATGAAACTATTTCCATCCTCAATTTCCTTTAATAATGAAAAATATTCAAAGAGCTATAACTATATTAATTTTTCATAGATTCAGGAGTCTATCATTTTCATTCCAAAGGCTGCAATCCTTTATCTGTACCTCTCTGGCTGTTTCCTGACAGCCATATCAGGAAAAGATAACTGAGGCTTGGGTACTCAACCTTGTCTGTTCTTTATCTTTACAAAGGGTGAATTATTAAAGAGGGCCCATGAGCTTTCCAAAAATATATTCACCAATCAGGTTAATCCATCTAACATCTAACATCAAAAATGTCATCACAAAAGCACAACAAAGAATATTCTTTCTGCACCAAATTCAGATAGCTCAAACTGCCCAAAGAGCTGCTGATTCAGTTCTACAGAGGAATTATTGAGTCTGCCATCTGCACCTCTATAAACTGTCTGGTTTGGCTCTGCAACCAAACAAGACAGACACAGACTTCAATGGATAATTAGAACTGCAGAAAAAAACAATAGAAGGTAGAATTCTTTATTGGACAAATGTGATTGGACACACAAGGAATTTGTCTTGGTGCAAATGCTCTCAATGTACATTAAAAAAAGATACATTCATCAAGAATCATAAGGTACAACACTTAATAATGGTCATAGGGTACAATAAGCAATCAAATCGTACTAGGAAACGGTCAATACAAATCGTAAGGATACAAGCAACAAAGTTACAGTCATATAGTCACAAGTAGGAGGGAATGGGTGATAAGGAGTGATGAGAAGATTAATAGTAATAGTAGTGCAGATTTTGTAAATAGTTGAACAGTGTTGAGAGAATTATTTGTTTAGCAGAGTGATAGCATTTGGGGGAAAACTGTCCTTGTGTCTAGATGTTCTGGTGTGTAGTGCGCTATAGCATTGTTTTGATAGTAGGAGTTGAAACAGTTTATGTCTGGGATGTGTGGGGTCTGTAAATATTTTCACAGCCCTCTTTTTGACTCTTGCAGTTTACAGGTCCTCAATGAAAGGCAGGTTGGTAGTAATTGTTTTATTGCAGTCCTAATTACTCTCTGAAGTCTGCATCTGTCTTGTTGGGTTCCATAACCAAACCAGACAGTTATAGAGGTTCAGCCTTCCATTGAGGACCTATATACAGCACAAGCCAAAAAAAGGGCTGTGAAAATATCTACAGACCCCTCACATCCTGGACATAAATTGTTTGAACTTCTACATTCAAAACAATGCTATAGGGCATTGCACAACAGAACAACTAGACATAAGGACAATTTTTCCCCGAATGCTATCACTCTGCTAAACAACTAATTCCCACAACACTTTCAAATTATTTACTAAGACTGTACTACTATTATTCTTTTCATCCTTCCTAGTACCTATCTCTTCCCACTTATGACTATAACTGTGTTGCTTGTATCTTTACAATTTATATTGTTTTATTTGTTTCCTAGTATGATTTCATTGCTTATTAGTAACCTATGACTATCACTGTGTTGTATCTTCTGATTCTTGATGAACATATTTTATTTTTTCTTGATGTACACTGAGAGCATATGCACCAAAGACAAATCACACTTTGCCAATAAAGAATTCTATTCTAACCTTCCCCATAATTATTTTGCAAGTATGTACAGATAGCAGTTAACAAAAAGATTGGCATAAGAGATGAAGCAATCTGTAGTTTGCACAAGCTTTCCAAAACTGTCATTTGTAGCATCCAAATTCAATGCAAACACTGGTAGAGAAGTTTTTTACCAATTTCTGATGTAAAGTAAAAGAAATAAGGTATTGATTTGGACAGGCAGGGCAGGGCAGGGCAGGGAATAGGAAAGGAAAGGAAAGGAAAGGAAAGGAAAGGAAAGGAAAGGAAAGGATTCCCCGCAGAAAAAACAAACTAACCCACTTGTATGGCATCTCCTCTGTGAGGAGACAACAAAAATAATAACGAAATGGCATTCCTTCTTGCTGTTAAAACCTCATTTGCTCCAATCCTGAATATTAGTTTGCTAGAAATGTCTAGCAAAGTCAATTTTTCTGAGTGTCAGGGTTCTGATAGTTTCAACAGGTGATATTTATCAGAAATGTAGCAATGTTCTGTGCAGCCCTCCGAAGTCTTTCTCTTGCTTTAGTTTCCACCATAAGGAAGGAGAATTTGTGATAAACACTCCATTCAGAATCTTCCAAAAGTAAGCTTGAAAGATGGGTCAGAGAAAAAAATGAAGCTTTTTTTTAGGCTTTTTTTCAGACAGACAGATGGTTGCTTTAAAACAGCCTTTGAGCATTAAGTATGAAGAATCCAATCGAGTGCCTGCAAGCATTTCACCATGTACATAGATTTATCTGCAGTGGCAAGGACATCCTTTCTTAAATGCTGCTGGCAAATATACCCAATGTATTGAATTTCCACTGCTGACACTTTGGTACAACAGAAGGTAGGAAGAGCCTCCAAGATCTTTGAACACTTACATTAAAAGAATGTATTGTGTGAAATTTAAAAAAAGTGTTGTGTCAAAACATTACATGATGATCTGTAGAAGCCTAAGGCACAAGACATCAGAGAAATCATCTTTTCTGTAATGTAAATTCTCAGCCTTTTAACACTGATTTGAAACCTCAGCATGGTAACGATCCCCTGCAGTACTTTATACCATCAGTGAGCCTCAAAACATAATCACCCACGGTCACGACATTAGTAGTGTTATTATTTAGCACTGAGAGAACAAGAAGAAAGATATGAAGAAAATAAAGCACATCTTTCTTCTTTGCAGGGAACAGCCTGATTGCACACGAATTGGACTTGACAATGAAAGCCTTCTTCTTCGTGGTTGCATAATAAGGAATACAGAGGTTGCAATTGGAATTGTTATCTACGCAGGTAATTACTGGATTGGTTTTTCATACAGCTACAGATTCATACTAGGGTCACAAAAAGTTCTTTCCCCCAGGACTTTTTGTGCAATGTAAAATTTGTTTTGCCTCTAGCACTTTCTCTGTAAAATGCAGAATTGAGGGATCTATTATCCTTACTAATTTTCTTACCAACTCCCACTCTTCATTATTTTGGATAACTTTTAATCTGAGTAATAATTTTAGAGAACTCAAAAACTGCCTGTCTTCTGAGAAATATATTCTTACTTAATGCATCACTTTGCTTAATTTATATCTTGCTTCTTGAAGGTCAGCTTTATGGTTTAAGCAATTAATCCAGGCTGTGTGGGAACACAAGTCTGTGCCACCCACATGGACCGCAGGAACACAAAGCTTGTGTCGCTTGCATTGCAAACAACACAAGGTAGTGAGGGGAGGGGGGAACTTGCTTCACTTGCTCTACACGCCTTGCCTGGCTACCAAGCTGATTCTTTCCACTTCTTTCTTCTTCTGCTTTTGGCTGCACACAAGGAAAGCAGCAAAAGTCTTTCTTCCTCTCCCCCAAACTCCACCAGAAATGAGTCTTTGGGAGCCTGCAAGGCATCCTGCTCCAAGAGGCTGCGCTGGCAAAGACTCGTTTCTGGTGGGGTTTGGGGGAGAGAAAGAAAGGCTTCTGCTGCTTCTGCTGCTTTCCTTGCATGAAGCCAAAACTCTCTCCCCCTCTCTCCCCCTGAGAATGGAGCTGGAGATGGTATCCTGCAATCCCAAATAAAGAATGATCGATCGGTAGAAAATGGGGAATTTTCCTGCAGACTTTTTTGGGGGGGACTTTCCCAGGGTGTCTAGTCCGCGGGATTTAAAATTATGAGTTTGGTGGTCCCTGAGGTCCAAAAGATTGGTGACCCCTGGTTTAAGAGAAGAAGAAATGCTGCATTTCATACAATACATGCAAGAAACCAACTTGTGGCCTTTGATGGCATTCTTCACAGGGTTGTTAACAGGAGGATTGTGCTGCTTTTGTAAACTAACTTAGACATGCTTATTGAAGATCACCATAAAAGCGGCACCTAATCAAGTTTTGTAAAATGGAAAGGGAAGAAAAGCTATGGTGTATTTCATTAGTGACTGAATATAGGTGAATGGTTATACTACTCAGGAAGAAGAATGCATTGTCAAGAATGATTTTTAAAATAATGGGTTCTGGGACTCTTCAAATTCTTAGAGTGGGAAAAGGGGAAGTTGCAATCTTAACCAATCTGAAGAGTTGTCTTCTCCTTGTATTGTGAATATAAAATCCCCATCCTACGTCCTCAAGAACTGCCTAAGATTCATTCAGGTTTGCTCTGAATGACTTGGCTTCTGATTGAGATGTCAGCATACACTTTTTTTTTTAGTTTGCATAAAAATGTTGCAATTGCTGTACTGATAACAGTGGAACTATTGCTCAGAAAAGAGACATTTGGAAGTAATTTCCATCCTTATCTTGTCACTTTAAATGATGTAGCAGCTCTTGACTTTAAGAACACAGGCATAAACCTAGAAGTACCTCTTGGGAATACTTTTATTTTCCTAGTAAATCTCTTTTCAAAGTGTCTTCTCTTTGATGCCAGAGGTATTCCCACAATACCAATTGCTCATGAGCAGGGAAAAGTGGAACCCTCATATCACAATAATAATAATACTGGTTTTGTTTTCATATTGTATTTATTTAGAACTGTGTAAGACCACCCAACTCTACAATAACCCTGAGCAGATTACAGTAAAAACCATAAAAATACCATTAAATACAACTTAGCAATAGCAATTGCACTTATATACTGCTCCATAGTGCTTTACTGCTCTGGGAGCAGTTTACGAAGTCAGTATATTGCCCCCAACAATTTAGGTCCTCATTTTACCGATCTCAGGAGGATGGAAGGTGAGTTAACCTTGAACCGATCTGAATTAAATCTGTCTGCAGAAGTAGCCTGCAATACTCTATTCTAATCACTGTACCACCAGGGCTCCAAATAATATTCAAATATATAGGACTCATCACCTACATTCAGATAACAGATAATCAGAGTTGAAAGGGACTTTGTAGGTCATTTAGTCCAACCTCCTGCCCAAGCAGGAGACCCGGTACCATTTCTGATAGATGGGTGTCCAATCTCTTCTTGAAAGTCTCAAGTGATGGTGCTCCCACAGCTTCCGAGGGCAAGCCGTTTCATTGGTTGATTGTTCTCACTTGTCAGAAAGTTTCTCCTTATTTCCAGGTTAAATCTCTCCTTGTTTAGTTTCCATTCATTATTCCTTGTCTGGCCTTCAGATGCTATAGAAAATAGCTTGAATCCTTCCTCTCTGTGGCAGCCCCTCAAACATTGGAACACTGTTATCATGTCTTCCCTGGTCCTTCTTTTCACTAGACTAGCCATGCCCAGTTCCTGTAACTGTTCTTCATATGTTTTAGTCTCCAGTCCCCTAATCATCCTGGTTGTTCTTCTCTGTACTCTTTCTAGAGTATCAACATCTTTTTTATAGTGTGATGATCAAAACTGGACACAGTATTCAAGATGTGGTCTTACTAAGGCTACTTAGTAAGTACCTCACTTGATCTCAATTGTATCCCTCTGTTAATGCAGTTTAGGATTGCATTAGCCTTTTTGGCTGCTGCTGCACACTGCTGGCTCATATTTAGCTGGTTGTCCACTAAGACTCCAAAATCCCTCTCACAGTTACTGCTATTGAGCCTGGTTTAACCCAGTCCATATCTGTACTTTTGGTTTTTCTTGCCTAAATGTAAGGCTTTACTTTTCTCTACGTTGAATTGCATTTTGTTAGATACGGCCCAGTGTTCTTGTCTTTCAAGATCCACCTGGATCTTGAGCCTATCTTCTTGGGTGTTAGCTATTCCTGCCAGCTTAGTATCATCTGCAAATTTGGTAAGTTCCCCTTCTATTCCCTCATCTATGTCGTTAATGAAGATATTGAAGAGTACTGGGCCTAAGATGGAACCTTGTGGCACCCCATTGCTTACTTCCCTCCATGTAGATTTAGACCCATTAAGTACTACTAGTTGAAGATGGTTTGTCAGCCAGTTGTGAATCCATCTGGTGGTGGTGCTATCCTACTTTTTTCTAGCTTATCAAAAAGTAGGTTGTGGACTACTTTGTAGAATGCCACACTATTTTGCTGGTCTACTAATTTAGTCAGTGTGTTGAAGAATGAAATAAGATTGGTTGCGCATGATCTGTTTTTAACAAATCCGTGCTGACTGCTAGTTATTACTTTACTTGTTTCTAGATGTTGGCAGATCTGTTTTTTTATTATCTTTCCCAGTATCTTCCCAGGTATTGATGTTAGGCTGATTGGTCTGTAGTTTCCTGGGTCTGTTTCTTTTTTCCTTTTTTGAAGATGAGAACCATATCAGCTCTTTTCCAGTCCTCTGGTAATTCCCCGGTGCTCCAGGATTTTTGAAAGATATCGTGCAGTGGTTCTGAGGTGACCTCTGCCAGCTTCGTTAGAACTTTGGGATGTAATCTGTCAGGCTCCGGTGATTTGTGTTCATCAAGATCAGACACTCTAAGCCAAATCTTGGAGAAAGAGCTCAGATGAGGCAAAATGCATCTGGGATGGTATTCCAGTTGGCAGGGGTTGCAACAGAAAAGACATGCCTGCTGGATCACATCAGGTGGAGCTGCTTAATGCATGGGACATGCTGAATATACCTAGTTTTGCAGGCCAAACAAAAAACACAGAAAATACATGGTCCTTTAAATAATCAGGCCCTATGAAATAAAATTCCTTGGTTACAACTTCTCCTGAAATGGGAACCATTAGATTCCAATTTGTTCTGTGTTTCTTTCTGGCCTGCTGTTTTGTTGGTACTTCAGATTCACTTTGGGAAGAACTAAAGAAGCATTAAAATTATTCACTGCTGGATTTAACTTATTGGACTTTCTTTATGTTCACCCAGAACACGCACTAGTAGATTCTCATTAAGTCACTCTGGCAGCTGTGAAACAGTCAAACTTACTTAGAAGTCAGTCGGCCATCTAATTAGGTTTTAAGGCATTAAAGTACTCTGCATTTTTTGGCTCCGGTTGATATTCATTGTGAATAAAGAGTTCTCTAACTGCCATCCTTTCAGTTTTTGCAAATAATCCCCAACAGACTTTAAACCTAATCTATGATTTCTCCACATTGTTCTCATTATCTATAATCTCAAGCATATTCAGTATTATATTCCCTTTACGACTGTAGTTTTTGAATTGTAGACAGCTATGCACAAAGACTGCTGGCCATGTATTCATTTCCTTTTAAGCTAGCCAATTGCTGAATGCATTGTCCCCAAATTCCATTAGGTTGCTCTACCTGCACTGAAAGAACAATGGCATTCTTAGTATTCTTCACACACACACACACACACACATAGATGCTGGCACACTGCTCACACACTTGTTCACCTATACTTTTGTACATCTGCTGACTGTATTGCAAGATTTTTTTTCCAATTGCCTGCTATAAAAGCCATTGCAAGGAAAGACTGACTATTGAAATTATTAATGCAGGGAAGCTTCAAATAACTCCTCTTCACATGGAATCAGATCACCATGGTAGTGCTTGTGAATCATTGTAAATCTTGCAAAAGTGGCATTTTTGCATAATGCGTGAAGTGCGTTATCCCAGCAAATCCTGAGTGCTGCAAGGCAACAAACCCCCATGAGAACCACATGCAAACAAAATTGTACTTGAACACTTTTCTCCTGCTAGGCTAAATAAAATGCTAGCAAGGAATCAAAAGCTTGGGCACATGGAAACCAAAAGAGAAATACATACCAACAAACACAGAATGATTCTCTGAAAAAGAGGTCCCATGTGTCTCTGAAACAAAGGACAAAAAATGCAAATGAACTTTCCAAATGGGGCAAGGAATACAAGTCTGCTGATATGCCCCAGAGCTGGTTTGCAGAAAGCATTGAACAATGGTTTGAGATTCAATCAGCCCAAAAGGCAGAGGAAAATAGTATCTAGAAGCATCGCACATCCCTACATTCTTTTAAGAGACTAAAATAAAACTTCGTTGTTTTCATGGAAGTGAGATGTGGCATATAATGTAGCTTTCACAAAATAAAATTTGCAACAATAAATAGTTACAACAACCATCATTAGCCCTGTTTCCATTCCTGTAATAGTCCATGAATTAACTTAGATATCAAATACATTTCTTTGATTATCACACTTCAGGGAGCTCTATAGGAACTCTCATTCCAAGAAGTAATCTCCATTGACTATAATGTCTGTTGCCTCTGGAGTGGGTTCAGAGACAGAATTTATGAATTGATTTGTGGATCAAATAAAAAATCCATTAAACCAATCACTCTGATTTCCATTGTAGCCAGCCAGATGGTGCTGAGAAAGCCACAAGCAGAACATGATGGAGCAGCTATTGCCAATTTCTATTAAGCCAATTATTTCAGAATGTGAAAACTCATTTGAATGCTTATGGTTAATTTCCATTAATATTGCTGCCCAACACATAGTGAACTAATCCAGGATTTGTCAGCACAGCCCCTGAAGCACCAAAAAACAGCATCCCCAGATGGCAACTACAGAATTTATTTTAAAAAAATAAAAGTTACATCTACATTTTTTTTTAATGGCCAGAATCTCACAGTTGTTTTTACATTCTTGCATGAGCTCAGAAGAAGATGATCATCTGGAACTTAAGGATTTCAGTACTACTCAGAAAAGTTCTTGGGAAGGAGATCACCAAAGATTATAGTTTTATGAAAGGAAAGACATTTTTAAAAATATTGTTTTGATTTCTTGGCTCCGGTCTACTTATGTGAGATTCCATGATAGAACCTTGAATGTATTGTTGTTGTTGTTTTAAACAAATTTTATTAACTTTACAGAACACACAGACAATCAAGGCATAATAACATAGAAGATCTTTCTGGAAAAACCAGTAGGACATACAAAATATTTCCAAATTGTAATATATATATTTACGTTATCTGCTCAACTTCATATCTTATCCCAATTTCTCCTTTTCATTCTATTATCCAGATTATATTTCTTACTAATTAAAAATTTTTGCCTTTCAAAAAACAATACACAAACATACAATACATAAAACATAAAAAACATCATTTCTGAAAGCTGCTTAATCCTGGGTTAAAACTCTTCGCACAGATGCAAATTCAAAAATCATATTTACTTTATATATCATTCCATATCTTATTACCATTTTCAATTTTCTATATAGCTTCTTCCCTCTTTTATCTTTCTTAGTTTTATTTTATTTATCTTATCTCAATACAATTCATAATACTTATCATTCTTTGTCTGTTCTTTTCCAGTTATCCATCCATCTTTTCTTTTTAAATATACTTCTCCTGTACACTGATTGGAGTAACGCCTTTGACTCTTTCCCCTAACTTAATAATGCTTAATATAACACTTACATTATATTGGGATTCTGATTAGTACATTCTAAAATTACACAATAAATTTTATAAGAAAAGCAAGTACACTACAATTACAAAATAAAAGCATATAACCCACCATAGATACCATTAAAAAGCTAATCATATATATTAATACACATTTTACTCTAAATACACATACAAAAACACACTCTTATGTACCTTCCAGAATCCCTTTTTCAATTAAATTTACCCATTGTCTCTAAATAGATTTTGTTTCTTTAAGTCTTGCTTCCCACCATTAAGACTTCTCATCCCCTCCTTTCTCTCTTGTTTATTTTTCTCCTTGCCTTTTTTACCCCATTGTCTCTCCTCCTCCCTTTTCTTCTTCTGCTTACCCCCTTTCTGTTGTTTTCAACCTTGTATCCACCTTTCATCTCATTTTTCTCTTTTTGGATTGTTTTCTCAAACCTTAAAATCCCCTTTTTCTTTTCCTCTTCCTCCTCCTCCCCAAAGAAAACCCATTGTTCATCCAAGATGGCTTCTTCTTCTTCTTTATTCCAGTCATCCTGCTGCATAGTCAGTTTTTCATAAGTGCATACCACCATTTCTAAAAATTGAAAAAGAGTGCCCAAAGTATCTTTTCCATCTTGCTCTTCTTTTTTATATTTTTGGTATTGAATTTTTAGTTCATCCAGAAGCAATGCCATCATGAAGAGAAAAACTTCTTCAAAAACAACCACCCGAGTATTTTTAATCAAGAATAATTCTAAAAAATTCCAAAGTCACTAAAAGATCCAAATAAACTATTTCTTTTGATACTTTTTTTTCCCCTTCTTCTATTTCTCTTTCTGGGGTTACTGATTGATCAAAAAGTTCCCATTGAAGTATATCTTTCTTTAAAGTTCTAGGCAGTCTCCTCCTTTTTCAAGCTCTGCTCCAAAGAATTTTTTTTTTCCTCTCCCCCCACTTACAACAGCAATTTCCCTTTAAACGCTCAGAAATCCATACCTCAAATACGGGTTTTCCAATTTCTGAAGTTGTTAAATCCAAAGTCCAAAATCCTTTATCTCATAACTTTCAAGTTGAATTACCTTCGGTGCCCAAATATATTTTCCAAGTCTCCATCTGCTATTTCTATGGGGTGGGAGAGTGAATTAAAAAAAAGTTTTCCCTTGACAGCTTTCTCCGCCGCTTTTCTCTTCTTAGGGATACAATGTATCTTTCAGGCAATTCAAGCAATTCTGTTCCAGGGTTTTAAAGGTTGTTATTTTCCCAGCTCAGCCAACACTTTCATTTCTGATTCTTCTTTCTCCTTCTTCCTCCAGCTTTTCCAGCTGCCGGCTTCTTTGTGGCGGCCATTGCTGACCGCCGCTCCACCGCCTTGAGAAAAGGAGGTTAAGCTGGGTGAGGAGGGGGTCTGCGACACCCCCAAACCCCTTTTCAGATCCTCCCTGTCTTCGGCTGCCTCTACAGGGCAGCCTTATCCTCCAGACCCATCAGGATCGGAGGCACCAAGACAGCTAGCGCAACAGGGATCGCGCACAGTCGCGAATCCCCGCCGCCGCCGAAGCCTGGCAAACCGGAAGGCACCTTGAATGTATTGTTGAGCTCTGTTCCAGTCTTTTTAAAAATTATGTAAGTAGTGACCATTGTCCCTAGCACCACATAATGGAGTGACCTCCCATTACTTGTCCCAGCTTCTGCCAACCTAACAGTTCAAAAGCATGTAAAAATGCAAGTAGAATAATAGGGACCACTTTGGTGGGAAGGTAACAGCGTTCTGTGCCCCTTCAGCATTTAGTCATGCCAACCACATGACCAGGAAGACGTCTTCAGACAGCATTGGCTCTTCAGCTTTGTAATGAAGATGAGCCCCACCTCCTAGAGACAGAAACGACTAGCACGTATATGCGAGGGGAACCTTGACCACCATTTAGTGACCATTGTAAAATCATGTAGCAATTATTAGCTAGCATTTGCTTCTTATTTTGGGGAGAGTCGTTTATTCAGAAGATTTAGAAGACATTTATTTTTAATAGTATTAACCAAATTTAGAAACTGCCCATTTATTAACATGTATCTGCCTTAAAATAATAAATAACATTCAGCAGAAGTAAATAATATATCCATTACAGCCATCTGTTCTATTAAGAAACCTAAAAGAAATTAATGTTTAACTTTCTTTAAATATGTAACTATTAAATAATTGCAATAAAAAAAAATCTTTGTTAAAGTTCAGTTTAAAATAGTTCTCTATTTATTCTCTCCACATTGTGGACAACTTTATAAAGACCCCTCCTGATCTTCCTCCTTTTTTCTCTTAAAGAAAAAAAATACAAACTATTTATGTACTTATTTTCAAGATATTTTTAAAAAGCCTTTCAGCTTTATAAATCCAGGTTGATGAGCAGCAATAAGAACATAATAACCCATCAAACTACAGCTTCATCTAATTATCTGTGCTATCTGGCAGCTGTTCCTCTCAGTTGCAGATTAAAAACTCCCAGTTTTACCATTATTTTATTTCCGGTAAATCCAAGATTTTTTAGGAATTCAGGATATATTGATGCAATCTTTTTGGCTTTCTGAAATGTCAGTCTACCACTGGAAGTCTGTTGCCAAGAATGCAGTTCAAATTACATATGTAGATAGATGAGGAAGTCTTTGTACCAATCTCAGCCTTATTATTCCAAATAGGAAATGCTTGAATCCAACCTAAAAAGATGAGTATTCTTATTTGTGGATTTGTGGATTTGGTAATGTTCTCTGTATAATCCGTCTGTAATCTTTTCCATGAACTTGTTATTCTTTGTGCACAATGTGAACATTCTTCTCTCCTTCTTTGGACCATTTCTCTGAATCAATCCATCCCTCACTTTCTTTAAGGTTTCTTCCTTTGATGTGTCCAAGAATTATATGCCCACAAATTGAACCAAGGATCTTTTGACTTCAAAGTATGTCCTTTGCAACACACCTGCAGACGTCCTTTATTTTCTCCAGGATTTATCTCTTAATTTGAGCAGGAATTTTGCTTCTCCGAGTTTCCTCCAGAGAAGATATTAATAGATCCTCTTTGAGATACAATTCTTTCCAAAACCTTTGAAACTGCAAGGCACTCAACATCTGGAAATCATATTCTTGCACATGGCTATCCTTTAAACATGTATTACCAAAAAAACCCATGAAAATGTATGCTTGCATGGCTAGAGATATCTAATGTTTGGTTTCTAGTAATCCCTGAGTTCTTTATATTCATAAGATAATTTTATCTTTATGCATGTGCACACCTGGAAGGCCACGAAACCAAAGCGATGTTGAATAACAGAGGTCCTCGTTATAAACGCAGCAAGATAGAACAACAGATGAACATGGATATATTCTTCTGTGTGGGACTGCTCTTCATCATGTGTCTCATTGGAGCATTAGGTATGGAACAGTGGTAAAAAACTAGTCTACTATTTGTGAAAGTCTTTTTGTAACATGATGAACTTGGATGGTTTTTTCTACAGATGAGAAGATCAATGCTGCCCTTTGACAGAGGGAAGAGAGGCTCTCGCATAGCACATGCAGAAAGAATCTGAGCAGTGGCAAACAATAGCAGCCAGATACTAACTCTGTTATGATCTGCTACGATCAGCATCTCTAGATAGACCAGATTAAGACATTAATAGTATGAATGTTAACTAATTTATAATAAGGTTAAAATAATGGGATCTGACTGCACCTTCCCTCTCCTCCCTATATCTTCATGAGAACTAGGGAGGGTCATGTCTAAAGTACTTATTCAAATTATATTTTGGCCCCAGATTCAGATTTTTTTTAATCTGACCATTGGCTTGATTGCAGTTCTTCCTCTTGTTCATTGAGGTGATTTGGGTGCTTTCATCACTGGAGGCTTTCAAGAAGAAACTGGACAGCCACTCATCAGAAATGATATAGGGTCTCTTGCTTGAGAGACCTACAAGGTCCCTTCCAACTCTGTTATTCTGTTATTTCTGTATTGTTTCTACTGGCCATTATAGGTAGATCTTTAATATTAAAAATGAATAAAGATGTGTTGCTGGTCCAGCTGACTTGTATATATGCAATAGAAAAGGCCCACTCTCTTATATTTTGCTTCAGGCAACAACACTTATTGCAATTTCTAGCAATAAATTTGTTTAATTTAAACTTAATCTGAATATAATCCACATTGTAAAATAGAACAATTTACAGAACTTTTTATTCTGTAGGGGTCACTATATAAAAAAGAAAGAAAAGAATGATCCATGTGAGCGTTAAGTAGATCTATATATTTAAGAGTTACATATTTAGATTCATGTAACAAAAAAAATTAACACCCCATGCCCCATAAATTTCAGTTTTAACTGAAAACCTTATTTATTTATTATTATGAAATAATGTGTTTGCCACCCATCTCACCACCACTGTGTCCCCGTGTGCTATAGACCTTTAGAAAATTCCTCATTTTAAAAATCTTTTTTTTTAATGTTTTACCATAAGAAAAAGAGAGAAAAAAGGAACAGTTTTTATAGAGAAAGGGTGGGGGGAATCTAAAGGATGCTTAGCTCAGATGTTCAAACTGTATTCTTTCAAACCCTAGGATTCCATGAGAACTTGATGGGGTCCTGTGAGAGACTAAGAGGGGGCAGTTTATTCAAATGCAGCCAATTTTCCATCATTTGAGCAGTTTCTCCAACCTCAAAAAGGTTAAAAACCCCTTCTTTAGTGCATGGATATTTTAGGGAAGACATTTTGTTGATGGAAGATGCTTTTTTTTTCTAACTCTGAAGAGTCATAGAGATCTCATCTAAAATTATCTAAGTCTGTATTTGCATATGTTGATCAGTCAACGTGGTTGCTTAATTTTTAATAATATAAATGAAGTTAATGCCATTTATTGTGCTTTGCAAACCACCATTTAAGTATTAATATGGTCAGTGGTCAGTGTTTGGCTTATCCAATATACTATGTTACAGAAAAAGTGATTTCACAATGACATATGAACCCAACCACCATTTTATCACCAACAATGAAGGGATCTTAATACATGATCCTTTGGAATAATGGGATCATTAATTTGCTCTAATAATTTTGAAAAGCATATTTTTTTCTTGAGATCATATAGTCTTTCAAACTTTTCAAATTGGTTTCTCCAGTTGAAAAATCTATGTCCATACTGGAATGTTGTTTAATGTTTAAAATTTACTCTGTGGGATATTCTTGGTGTGGATGTGCGCTCATGTTGTCTGCAGCACTAGGCCTTTTGAGCTTTGCTATTATTCTTTCTTTTTTTTTCTATTACTCTTTTTATTAGGAAATGGGCAGGCATGGGCACAATGACTCAGTAGTTAAGACACTGAGCTTATTGGCTGGAAAACAGAAAGCCTGTGTTTGAGACCTGAGCATTGCATTGCATTGCTGACTAGTTTTCATCCATCTAGCATTTTGAAAACATGTAAATGCGAATTGATAAATAGGTACCATTTCAGTGGGGAGGAAACAGTGCTCCACAATGTAATGCTGGCCACATGACCTCAGAAAAGTCTTTGGACAGCACTGGCTCATGGCTTTGAAACAGAGATGAGCACCTCTCCCTATAGTCAGCAATAACTTGCAGAATAAAATCTGCATGGACTCCTTTCCTTCTTTTCCTTTCTATTCTTCAATGAGACTAGGACTCTGGCTGCAAATTACAAGGAAAGAGTCATAATGGCCTTGAAGAATTTTTTTTTTTTTTTGCCATTGCTAGTCTTTTCACTGTGGAGCCCATAATAAGCTTTTGAGAAACACTTTGGAAACAGCAGCTCTAAAGCCCATTCAATATGGATAGAAATTTGGATCTAGAGAAAAAGTTAACTGCTAAAATTAATAATTCATTGTTGTAAATTCCCTAGATGGTACCACTCACTTTCAATAAGAAGCAAACAAAAAGATTGCTCTCTTAGCAATTGCAAAGATTGTGTCCTAATGTGACCAGGATTGCAAGGATGTCAAATTATAATGAAAACAAGTCCACCAAGTCTCTACAAATAAATATTTGGCAGAAGAAACAAATGTTCCTATACTTGTGTCCCAATTTCTAAGTGTCAGTCTGCAACTGAATTGCAAAACGCTCCACTGTAAGATTTCTCATTTAACTTCTTTTGTATAGTGAGAGCCTTTGAGGAAACTGGCATGGCATGCCTGTAATCTGCCAGACAAAAAGAGCTGAACTATCTAGAAATAACTAAGCAGCAGTTCATTTTTGTTTTGTTTTCATTTTTAACAAAATGAGAGCTTCAGGTTCAAGTTACAGTCTTGGTTTAATCGGGGATCACAACTGGATCAGTTTTATAGAGTGGGAATGCAGTATGTTTTCCTTTTTCGGGGCGAAAAAGAAAATAGATCAAAAATGGAAAAGCGAACTGTAAATAAGTTTAGTCTTAATCTTGGTAAGCCTTAAAACTAGGGAACATGTCCTGATCTATTTCCTCACACTTCCCAGGAGTGCCCTGCAAGTATTTCTTTTTGGCATACATTTCATTATAAGGAGATGGGTAGAAAATGACTTTTATTTTTATTTTATTTTTTTGCTTTTCAGTGTTCTTTCCCTGAGACTTTAATGTTGCACTTAAATACACACTGATTGTATTTCATTTAAATAGAAACTCGTTCTAATGAAAAAGTTGGATGTTGATATATATTAATAATCTCCTGTTTCATTTGATACAAAATCCAATTTTGTATACTTTAGAACAGCACAGTTTGTTTTTTAACTGTTTATTAGATTAAGGCTTATAAACTAGTGCCACATCCGAATGCTTGAAGTGGAATTAGCTGTTATAGCTTACAGTTGTAGAGCAAATAGCTCAAGATGGGTACAACAAAACTGGGGGGGGGGATCTTTCCACATTGAATTATTACAGAGTAATGAACCAGTTCCTTGTCGATTACATACCACATTACATCAGTGAATTTCTGTAAATGCAAAAGGATATTTCTTCCCTCTTCTGTGCATATTGTTAGATCCTTCCTGCAGAAGGTCCTGCTCTGAATTTGTGGGGGAGGGGAGGATTAATGAGGAGGGACAGGAAAAAGAGAAGGGGGAAAATCCATACCAGCTACCAAATGCTGCTCCTTCCAAGTAACAACTTAGTTGCCTCTCTCTTCACAACTCCCTGCATGTGCTGTGATGAGTTCATTATCTCAAATATTTTGTATTTGAATGCAGGTCAAAGTATTTGGAATGGAAGTTTTCTCACCCACCCCTTATTTATCATCCCAGACATAAATGGCAACTACCTTGCTCCAGCTCTTGCAGGTTTCTACACATTCCTGACAATGATCATCCTTTTACAGGTGGGAAAAATATTTATTGTATGGATGAAAAAAGGAGGTTTAAGGTTGTGTGTTGACCCAGGATTATATCTCAGTTCCTGAATTTTACTCCTTATCTCAACCTGAAACTTTGTTTACAGGACAAAACATTCAGGTTTGTATGAGTAGCAGTAGGATTTACATGTAATGGAAATATAGTTCAAGAAAGAAATTTGGTTTAGAAGATCTACACAGAATTCTAAATGTACCCAGGAGATTGCAAATTCCTATTTTCATTTAGTCAAACAGGTTCCTGAGGATGCAAGTCTCTTCAGAGAGAGATTTAGACATGGTTTAGGAGCTACAAGAAATTGGTCATTCCAGATAGATGATACATGGATGGATGGATGGATGGACGGACGGACAGACAGACAGACAGACAGACGTTGGACCTCACACAAGACCAGCATTTCTTTCAAATTGATTAGAGAGCATTGTTATCAGCATGATCATGAAGAAAATACTAGTGCAAAAATGACTCTTAAAATAGCGACAATATTCTTGTAAATGTTCTAAAAGGTTGTGGGAACATCCAGAATATTTATGAAAAATGCCAGTGATTGCAAAGGAATGGGGAGATAATGACTTTACTGGAAAATTCTGAGCAGAAATATATTTACAAAGTGCTCCAATTTTAGAGTAAAAATAGTAGACCTAATCCAACATAAATCCATACTATCATACATCACAAATTTCCAGAAGAATCCCATTGTAGTCTGTCATTATATATTCTTACTATAACTATATAGTGTCATGATAGATTCATTTATTATATTTGAACATCACTTTTTTTAAAAAAAGTTCTTGTAGGGTCTAGCAGAAAAGTTAAAAACAGCAACTGTAAAAACAGTAATATAATTACAATGTACCATTAAATCTGACAGTTAAATTTAAAAACAATATCAAGCAGAGAATAAAAAACAAGTGCTAAAATGCTATAAATATTACAGTAAAGTTTACCAACCATGGGAAATAAATGTTATTATTTTCCTGACCTCTGTAGAGCTTCAGAGTGACTGAGAAAGAGGGTACTTTGTAGATTTGCCCCAACTCTTAAGGGCAATAAAGATCTTAGAGTAAGACATGGGAGATGTTATGGAAATCTCCGTAAACACTTCTTGTAGCAGTCATTGTTAATGTCAAGAAAAGAAACTGAAAATTATTCAGCAAAATAATTTCTAACATGCTGAGAAATGTCTTCTTTCAGATCTTAATTCCTATCTCCCTCTATATATCAATTGAACTAGTCAAGTTGGGCCAAGTCTTCTTGATTCATAATGATATTGCCTTGTATAATGAAGAGCAAGATTTGCCCATACAGTGCCGAGCACTCAATATCACTGAAGACCTTGGACAAGTTCAATATATCTTCTCTGACAAAACAGGGACACTGACAGAGAACAAGATGGTATTTCGAAGATGTACAATTAATGGGAAAGAATTTTCACATCAGGAAAATGGTAAGGCTTGTATGGTTGTTCTTAAGTGCTAAATTAGTCTGAATGTGAAAACTGCCAGAGGAGAAAGAAATTCCCTCCAATATTAAAAACAAATGTCCTACAGCTTAAGTCCTTTCCTGGAAGTTGAGAAGGAGATAGACTACAAAATACATTGTGTGCAGACAAAGGAGACAGGACTATACCATACCATATGTACGTTTATCTATAAAAAAAGTTTCTCACAAATTAAACCCTTTGTGATTCCAGGCCCTCACACAAGAAGGGTGCAGAAAGGTATTTTGAGATAGATGCATCTCTGAAAAAACAAGTTTATATGGGGAGAAGCTGGACTAAGATCAAATCAGCTTCAGCTTTAAACAAATACAAGATATCCATCCAGCATTTATTTTGGAAATGTGAGGGAACCTCATCTCAACTCTGGGGATTTCCCATTTTTTTGCTTCACTACTATTCCCTGCAAGAGAAAACACTGGCTACCTCAACTTCACCCCCATCCCAAGGAACAGTAGTGAAGATATTCACAAAGCAGTGCAGAATTGCAGCAAACTTTGGGGAAAAATAAAGTCCATAGTTGTATGGGAGTGCCCTCAAACACTCCATTGTAGAGAAAGGAGTGGCAGAACCTGAGGGTGGAATTTAAAGAGGGATCAGCCTAGAATCTTACATAGCCACAAGCAATCTAAGTCCAACCCCTCTTGAGTTCCATTCATCCTTATCTAACTCTTAGACTGTGTGCAAGGGACCTGAATTCCTAGTGGTGCTGATCATTAGTTGAACCTATTTGTGTGCATAGGCATGAGTAGCAATAAATCAGCTTAATATGACCTTTTGTACCTGATTCCCATTCCCCTTAAGACTTAATTCCTGCCCCACGGATGACTTGCGGGACTGCCTCTCCCCCATTGTTTCTGTCTTCCCCGCTAGAACTAATGGAAGGGGCACCTTTCTCAAGAGTTTGAAGGGACAAACAAGATGGTCTCTTTTATCCCACTAAGACTCGTGTGGAGTAGGTTGAAGAGCGTAGCTGGCTTAAAGTCAACTAGTGAGCCCTGGGATATGTGGGGACTTTATGCTGGCTCTTCCTAGCTCAAGTCCAACATTTTAACCACAACACTTTCTTGGCTCTTTCTATCTCTCATAGCTAAACGGTTGGATTCATACAAGGAAATTGATTCAGAGAATGAAGACTGGAAAAAGCATTTGAGCCTCCCTTCTAAAGTTGGAGAAACAATCACAGCAACACAGAGAAACAATGCTAGGCCTTTGCAAAGATGTCATAGTGCTCGTCCCTATTTTCAGGGACATGCAAGAAAGAAATATCAGGGTCTCTGGGGAATTGCTCCATCTCAGGTGGCATTTAGCAGCACCCTTGTAAGTATGATCTTTCACTTCTTTAAATGATAAAACCTTGCTCCTAAGCTGGTTTAGGGAAGAAAAAAGTCTCAGCTGTAACTGTAAGAAACAGAGGATAATATTGAGATTTTCAATAGGTGCCAGTTACCAGGCAAAATTTGCTCTGAGATCCTATGATTATGTATATATATTTGAGGTAACCCTTTTGAGATTAATAATATGCAAGGTGTGGGATATGTTTTGCCTTATTTGAGAGGGTTATATTTCCCCCTTCTCTGACTTTTTAAAATTTATTTTTATTGCTTTCTTTAAAAAATAACAGAAAAAGAAAAAGTGGCAGAACCCAAAGATAGTTACAATGCAAATACATAGAAAAACTACATATAAAAAGTGGCTGAAATTTTTTAAAATATTTTTTCTGTTGTATTTTTCCCCCTCTGTTAATAAGAGATTATAGTTGAACTTGAAATTTCAGACCAAAGCAAATTCCTACATAGATTCCTAGTGAGTAATAACACAAAGTAAGTTTCAGTTTTGCAAACAAGACTAAAATTCTTAGAAGTATAACAGCAGTCACCAATTTCCATTTTAAAAATCCGTATCAGGAGAAGTTATATTGAGCTCCATTTAAATATCCCTCCTTGTGTATAAAAACATATTTTTATTTATTTTATTTTGTCAAGCAATCATAAGATAATAGGTATAAGTATAAAGATAGTTATGAATATGCAATTGGTTGCTTTTTTATCACAGTCAGGAATAATAAGGAGGTAAAAAGAATAAGAAATAATTTAGCATGCTGAGAAGGCACAGGAGTTAAAGATTAGTATAATGATACTTTCAAATATCTGTCTCTTAAGACCATTGACAAGAAATCAGACAAGTAGCTACATTACATGGGCAAAATTGTTTGTGAGCGCTTTCTTAAAATATTAAGCAAAAATCAGGCAAATGATCCAGAGAGGCAAATGCAAATGAGAAGAACCATGTACATCAATTGGTATCAGTCTAAGCAGATTATTGCTCTCCTGGTACAAATGTGCTTTTTTGGTTATTAGAGAAGAATTAAATATAAATATGGAGCAGTGAGAGCAAGCACCAACACAATCACTGCTGACTGTTGTTAGTTAAGACTCCCTGCCTTTACACTTGAAGGAAACCCATAAATCTATCTTGAACCAGCCCCCATTCCTTCCTGGCTTGAAGCCAGCCGTATTTAACAAAATGTCACTGACATCCAGCAAATAATATCCAATTCCAATCCCTCCAAAAGCAAGATGCAAAGAAGCTGAACTATGGATTCCTTGGTGCTCTCTGGGCTTGTTTTTTTTTTCTTGCAGATGTGTTATTTTCAAACTAGGTAACATCATCAAGTTGGTAATGAAACGTTTGCAAGAAAACAACCTTGCTCAGAGAGCACCAAGGACCCCACAGTTCAACCCTGAGCTATAAATATTCTCTTCTAGATGTTGACCTATAATACAGATGCGGGTAATAATTTTTAACAGTAGATCATACTTTGGAAGAACCATTTCTTGGGCAGAGACAGGCATAGCAAGACCTGATGTCTTTCCCGAAGGAGGCTGGAGCAGTACTTTGACTGTACCTCAAGTATGTGTTAGAATGGTCAAACAAATGGCAACTTCAAATCTCAACAAACAAATGCTCTGTCTTACATATTGGCAAAAAAATCAGAAAATAAAATACAAGCCGAATAGTTAAGATCTTGTTGATGATCCAAGCTCTGTAAAGGATCTTGGAATACTCATCTCTAATGATCTAAGTGCTAGAGCCCACTGTAACTACATAACCAAAAAGGCATTAAGAGTTGTTAACCTAATCCTGCATAGCTTTTTCTCTGGTAATATCACACTACTAACTAGAGCATACAAAACATTTGCGAGACCAATACTTGAATACAGCTCATCAGTCTGGAACCCACATTACGTATCTGATATTAGCACAGTTGAGAAAGTCCAGAAATGATTTCACAAGAACAGTTCTCCACTCCTCTACTCGTTGTAGAATACCTTATGCCACCAGACTTGAAATTCTAGATCTAGAAAACCTTGAATTATTCCATCTTAGGTCTGATCTAAGTATAGTACATAAAATTATCTACTGCAATGTCCTACCTGTCAATGAATACTTCAGCTTCAACCACAACAATACAAGAGCACATAATACAAACTCAAGGTAAACCGCACCAAACTTGATTGCAGGAAATACAACTTTAGCAACAGAATGATCAATGTCTGGAATACTCTACCTAACTCTGTGGTTTCTTCCCCAAACTCCCAAAACTTTAACCTTAAATTGTCTACTATTGACCTCACCCCTTTCCTAAGAGGTCTGTAGGGACTGTGCATAAGTGCCTACCGTCCCTGTCCTATTGTTTCTTTTTTATTCATATCCATTTCATGTATTCATAACCATGCTTATACTTATACCTGTTCTAATACTTGCTTGACAAATAAAATAAATGAAAATGAAATGTATGTTTTTCACATTTTAGGAAATTTGGCAGTTATTGATAATAAGCTAATTCTGTCTGAAGTTTTGGACATCTATTTCCTTTCATGTACCCCCAAAAGCAAAGAAAAGTTAAAGAATCACAGTTCAGTCAGTTCACCACTGAACTTAGGAGCACAATCTTAAGAAAATTAGAGGGCCACATGTGACAGCAATAGCAATAAGACTTTGGAGCCCTCTCTAAGTGGTTTACAGAGTCAGCATATTGCCCCCAACAATCTGGGTCCTCATTTTAACAACCTCAGAAGAATGGAAACCTATGGAGCCCTGTTGAAACTGACACATGAACTGTGATATTGGACAAAGGCTATACTGCATGTGTGTTATATACAGAAATAAGTTGCTCTGTTGCCTTTGTATTTGGATCGGTATCATTCTGTTCTGTTCAAACACAGTATCCTTGAAAACTTTACAACACCCAGCATAAGATCTTATTTTTCACACAGTCCTAATCCTGCAAATGTTTTTTTTTTAAACTGAATAATATGCATTTCAGGAGAAAGATGTGACCCCTGACAACAGGCTGCTGATGAAAATGAAGAACCTCTCATGCCCACCAGAATCTTTGAAATCCTTTACCACTGGAGAAGCCACGTCTTCCATCACAGATTTTTTTCTTGCTTTGACCCTCTGCAACACGGTAGTGGTCTCTACAGCAACTGAACCAAGGCAAAGGGTAATCTTTCACTCTGACTGTCTTGCTAGTAGAGAAAGAATGTTCTATTAATTTATTGAGTGTAATAGTTGAAGGCATATGGCAACCGCTCTCAAGCAGGCTAGAAAGAAATCTTACTTTATGACAAGGGAGAATGTTTCCTTACTTTTGGCCTTCAGTAATCCTAGTTACTGATTTCATATGACTTCATACATATTCATATGATTTCATATGACTACAGCAACAGAATAGTCAATGCCTGGAATGCACTACCTGACTCTGTTGTTACATCCTCTAACCCCCACTCCTTTACCTTCAAACTAACCACTATTGACCTCACCCCATTCCTAAGAGGTCTGTAAGGGACATGCATAAATGCACCATCGTGCCTCCTGTCCCTGTCCTATTGTCCCCATTTATTCGTACCTATTTCCTGTATTCTTACTCATGTTTATACTTATATGTATTACCTTGTAAGAGACTGACAAATCAAATAAATAAAAAAATAAATAGTTAACATCCAGAATTCTCTATATTTTTGTGTAAATGCATTTAATCCATATCCCACCAAAAGGGGAGAGAAAGGGCAAGTAAAAAAAGGTAATTCACCATACCGGAACAAATTTCAAGCAATTCCTTTATCAAGGATAATACAAAATAATAACATATAAATACCTTATACAATTTTATTCATGTTAAAAAAAATTCCACAATTGAGAAAAGAGAAGATTGATATTCAACAGAACATAATGTTGAAATCTATAACAAAAGAAACATCTTTTGAGATGAATTAACTAATTCTAAATCTTTGAAAAAAAATGAGAATATCAAAAAATCTGGCTCATATCCAAAGTACATCCATTTGCGGAAATGAAAAACATCCAGTTTTAAGAGAGAAAAAAAGGTGAAACTAATTAAACTTACATTTTAAAAAGCATCAATTTCTGTCATTATTTTTTTATGATTTATATTCTCATGTTTACTAATGAACTCACAGATTCTCTAAAAGGTTCTTCAAAAAAGGCCTCCCAAAGCCTTAGTATTTTTTCTCTACTACATTATGAAGAATAAATTCAGAGAAATACATTTATTTTAAATAATACATTTAAGCTACCTGTGTTTATCAGTTCAAACATGCCAATTAAAAGTTTCTGGCAAACTTTCTCTGAGAAAAAACAGCCAATGTTAATGAAGATCTTCTGTGAAAAAAAGAAATCCTTTACCACTGGAGAAACTCTGTTTTTAAAGGGAAACTAATATATTTAGCTAAACTGAATAATAACCTTAGGATATATTGTATTTCTTGGTTAAAACAGAAATATTAATTTATTAATTGACCTGATTAATATTTAAGGCATATTGTAAGTTTTAAATTTTATTAGAAGTTTTTAAAAAATCAAAATAAATTTTATTACACTCTCCATAATTATAGCACACAACTTTATCCTCATGTTGTGCATAAGTTCCCCTTAAACCCTTACAAATAACTTTCACCCCAAATAAATCTATTATGGTCTTCAGTCAATACAAGTTCTGGTTTCAGCTGAGGATTTAGCCATGTGATTTAGAGCTTCTCGCTGAGGAAGATGGACAGTTGAGAAATATGAAATATAAATAAATAACTAACATGTTATATACAAATGTTATATCTGTTTCCTTTTTTTAGTTTCTGCTGAAATAAATTCTTCACACAAGTTTTATAATTTTTTTCCATGTGTGGCTTATGGGGAAAGTATATCTTGATTTTCAAGTGATTTTTTCTCTTTTGAGAAATATTTGCTCTGTTTACATTTCACATTAAGCATTTATAATCCATAATCAACCCCCAAATTTAGAAGAATCAATATGTGTAGCTCCTAGTTTGGTATCATCCCTTTCAGTTTCTTATTGTACCTGCTGAAGGTTTAGTGCACTCTCATCTGAGCCCTCCATTTGAAATGTTTCCAATTTGTCTTTAATTTTTTCTAAAACAATTCCTTCATTTTCTTATTGCAATTTTTCTATATATCCATCTTGAAACTTACTTCTTTTGCAGAACTATTATTTTATGCACTCATAAAAATCCTTGTGGTTGAGCAAAGAAATATAATGCTCAGCTTTCTTCCTCCACCTCCCTACCTGCTTTTAACTCAGTGTAATCCAATAAAAAGAATTTTAGAACATCATAGAGAAACTCCATAATATTAGCAAGATGCTACCCATGGATAAGATAAGGCTGGGAATGTTGTTTGGTTGACTTAATCATATTTTATATACCCACTTTTCCTTGCAGAGTTTTTTTTTAAATAATCTTCTCCATAAATTTATATAGAAACTGGGTAGAATACACAAATGAACAATGTGAAGCTGAAATGCAGTAAAATGGGTTGACTCATACATCTCTTATCTTTAATTAATTCTGCCATTTACAGTGAATAGGAGCGTCATTTTTTTAAAAAAAAATCTGCCTTTCTAACACAATAAGAAAAGACATCATCCTCATGCAGAACATGAGTAGGCCATTTTTCAGCCTGGAACCACAGTCTGATTTCTTGTCCGAACTAAGATCCACAAAGGACACAATAATGTTGTTGCCACATCATAGCAAGCAAGACAAGACTTGCACTTAGTATTGTAAATAAACCAAGCAGATGATTAAGGAAAACTTTTAATCACTTAACTACTATAGATCAGGAAAAAAGCACAATCATTTGAAAGTTGGGGATATTTCTGAGGCTTAAGTCACTCACTTTTCACCTTAAACCATTTACAGAGGTTAAAACATGCAGGAGTACCCAGAAATTTCAGTCGCATCCATTCTGTCTCAATCATTTTAAAGGGTGCTATATATCCTAGGAAACATTCTGTAATGGGTTTATAAGTATCTCAACTCCTAAACTGTTCATGTAAGCCTTTGGTTTTTATCTACATAAGGAAGCCAACAAAAATCCCTCTAATCGAGATGTCCAATTAATGAGCCCCTCGGTTTGAGTAACGGCATTACTTGGCACCTTTTCCATGTTTCCTCTGTTAATGTGGAATGGTCCAATTTCATATTAGCTCTGCTGCAGAATGTTTGTTTTAATTAATCCCAATTCCCCCTTTTCTCTTAAGGTTACGACTCCATCACTGATGAAGCAGTCAGGACTCTCCCTGGAGAAAATTCACCAGCTGTTCCAGTGGATGAAGTTGGCAAGCCTCAGCCAGACATCGGTTCAATCGAGTTCAGACTTAGGAGAGAGTATTAACACAGAGAGCAGCACTGCCTATGCAGAATCAAAAATGAAAGATGAATGTCCTACTCAAAGCTGTTCTAGCTTAACAGATGATGAGAGTCTTGGAAGGGAGTCCTTCAGTGAGAACGACCTCTGTGGGGTTTCAGATCCCTCTCCAAATGAGAGGAGCTTTGCAGGAAGAGACCATGGGCCTTTGCAAGGAGAATTTTGTTATGAGGCGGAAAGCCCAGATGAAGCAGCTCTAGTCCACGCGGCCCATGCCTACCAGTTTACATTAGTCTCCAGAACTCCTGAGCAAGTGACTGTAAGGCTGCCGGAAGGAACTCTTCTAACCTTTGATCTCTTGTTCACCTTGGGATTTGATTCCAGCAGGAAGAGGATGTCGGTGGTAGTGAGGCATCCCCTCACCAAAGAAATCATAGTCTATACCAAAGGGGCAGACTCCGCCATAATGGATGTATTGGAAGACCCTACCAAAGGTAAAGAACTAATGAACTAGGAGGAAGGCATAGCTTGGATTGTTGGGCAATATCTTCAAGATTTACAGATTTCAGTTTGCAGCAGAAACAACACACAGAAACCTTAGTAGTGAAAATGAGAGCAAGAATGATGATTTACATAATTAGAAAGGGTATTGAACAAACCAATTAAGAAAGGCTATGTTAATTTGTTTTTATGAGCACTGCATTAAAATGGTAAGAAACTAGCATAGTGATTCTCTAAAAGGAGAAGTTGTATAAACTGGCAATTAACAGTAAGCTCTTAATAATAGTAACCAGATTATAGGGCAAGGGTAAGGAACCTGGAGAGCTTTGTGGCTACTACTTCAGCAGCCCTAGCTAAAAAGCTCAATGGTGAAAAATGCTTCAGCAACATCTTAAAAGCCTTCAGTTTGCCCCGGTTAGATGTTAGATAAGGAGCAGGTTGCTTCTGTGTATGTATGAAGTAGAATCAAGCATCACATGTGGGTAAAGTTTAAATCTTGACAGGAAAGAAAGAAAAATGACCACAGGCATTTTTGTGCCTCAAAAAATAGTCTCACTTTTGTGCTGCGGAAGGATACTTAAGAAGGTACTTAAGTATTTAATAAATCTCTGATGAGAATCAGCAGATTTCCTTTGTGTTTCACAGCTAGTGTGGCCATGGAAAAAAGGATACGAAGAGTGAGAACACAAACACAAAAACATTTAGATTGGTATGCACGTGACGGTCTGAGAACTCTATGCATAGCAAAGAAGGTAATTCCTTTTTTTAATGGTAATAATAGCAATAATAATGACAACCACTTCAGTAAAATGGCTTGTTTTGACACTTCAAGCCAGTTCCAGATGGCAAATGCTTTGTTACCTAGATTAATTTCCTACTGTTCTTACTGCCCCCTCACCTGAATCATCTTTAAATGAAGCTAAAGGAAAGCAATACTCTAATCCAGTCTTTTGACATCTGTTCTTCCTATTACTAATGTTTGAATATTAGAAACATTTGCAATCAAATAGAACTGCTCTGTTGTTTCTTGAAATATTTGGTGCTCAGGCTAGGCTGGTTAATCATAGTGTAAACTACAACCTGCAGGGTTTTTTTTTCCTACTTTATTTTAGAAGAAGCATCAAAGTCTGCATAAACATTTCTGGGCTGCTCCAGAAAAAATGATATGTGAATTATAGTCTTTGGCTGATGATCAGAAAAATGGGAAATGTGCTTGGAAGTTATTGTTCTCAGTAGCACTGTGTGTTAGCTTGAAATATTAGCTTGAAATATTAGCTTGAAATATTAGGAAAACAAATACTTTCATTTTGGAACCCTTACCTGATAGGAGAAAGAAACAGCAAAAAGCCTAGTGTCGTGACCTGAAGATATGCATCAGCTGATTGGCAAAACTCGCCTGCCTTTAACTCCAAATCCATCTTGCCTCTTTACAGAATGCACAAGGTGGAATGCAAAATAATGCCAAAAGAAATGTTTTTTCTAGAAGGAAAAACATGCAGCACCATTTACTCTTAGAACAGGTGGAAAATCAAACATCTATATTAATAAAACTATTTTAGTCTGACAGTGGAAAGATGTTAAAGAAGGGACAAAGCTGGGTATGCCAGAATTTTTGGAAGAGATACCTTTTGCATTCCTCCTTCTGACAATAACAGAACAGAAAGAACTTCCCCAGAGGATCTTAAAGTCTGAGTAAGGTCATATGGGAGAGGTTTTTTTCTTCTTTCAAACAGCCTAATCCCACATTGTGGAAAGCTTTATAGGGGATAACTAGCAGTTTGAACTGTGGCCAGAAACAGCTTGGAAATCAATAATGCTCTTGCAGTAAGGGAGATGTGCCCACTAAAACTGAAGGTCAATTGCTTGCCTGCAGCATTTTATGCCAATCAAAGTTTCTGAATCACTTTCAAAGGTTAGTTTGTTGTGATTGTGTTAATGGCTGGTCCTATATGATATAATGAAGGCATGGATCATCATCTAACATCTCCAGGAATGGATGCAGTTGGCGTACTAGCTATAGCAGTGCAAATGCACTCACGGTCAAATTGTGAGTAAAAAGAATCACAGTTCCTTCCAACACAGATGGAATCCCTGATCCCCAATCTGTTTTAGACAGGAACATTTCCAACTTATTTGGATTAAGCTTCTGTTTGTTGTTCCCTCATGTAATCCTTTATTGACAGTAGTAGGTATTAAATAGCCTTCTTGGATTTAGGTGGAAAAGACATAACAGAATTACATCTCATCAGGATTTGGCAGCATCAGATGTCAAGAATGTGAACAAACCTCCCAGAATTTTCTAGGTAGTCCTGTATCACCATACATCAGTTCTCCAAGTCACATCTATCCCAGAGAGAGACTCTGGAAGAACATCTTAATAATAAATACTCCATGCTGCAATATTAGTATCACTAGTATTAAAATCATCTAGCATTCCAGCAAAACAAAACAGACTATTTGGTTTTTGGTACATATCATCTACCAAAGTGATACCAAACTCTGTCAATAACATTTGATTTGCAGTAATGTAATTAAGATTTGAGGCTTTTTATTATTATTCCAGTTGTACATATTATGGCTTTCTTGTTCAACTGATACTATCTCATTGCTGTGGAATATAAATGCCAAAAGGCAGAGCTCCTGCTCCTTAGGACTGACTTTGTTATTAAACAGGATGAAACCTCAGGTGACATTACATGAGCAATGAGCAATAGCAATAGCACTTAGACTTATATACCACTTCACAGTGCTTTTCAGCCCTTTCTAAACGGTATACAGTCAGCTTATTGCCCCCAGCAATCTGGGTCCACATTTTACCGACCTTGGAAGGATGGAAGGATGAGTCAACCTTGAGCCAGTGAGACTCGAATTGCTAAATTGTTGGCAGCCGGCAATCAGCAGAAGTAGCCTGCAATACTGTTTTCTAACCACTGCGTCATCATGGCTCACAATAGTTTTGAAGAATACTTTATACCATATCACCTAACTTGGATGCCATTTATGAGGTGGGAGTTCCTCAGACTCAATTGAATCTGTTACACTGTTAATGGAGTCTATTCCATTATCAATGCTAAAATAATTCTGTTTCTAGTCTTTTGTTCATGGACTTTGCAAGGACATCCAGGGTTTTATTTCAGGCAGCATGTTCTTAGGCTTGCTTTGATCATGATTCAAAGTACAAGACCTCACCTATGCTTTTTCACTGAGAATCCTTGGACATCATCTCATATAAATGCCTCTGAGGGCAGAATAAAACTTCAAATTCTTCTCTGTCAGCTTAGATACTGGCATTCACAAACTGTAGCTCATCTTTTAAATCACAGTTTCTCCTACTGAAAATGCTTTATTTTCCTTCACTAGAATTTTCCTGTATTCCCAGAATTTTTATTAAAATAAAACATAGTTGTATTTGCTTGAAAATTAACTCAATTTTTAGAACATAATACTTCATCAAATCTATTGCTTCTGGCTGCATGTTTGTAATGCTGCATACTTTGTGTTCAGTTGTCAAAATACTTACTATTAATTGCTACTTGATTCTACTTGTAATTGTGAAGTAACACTACCCTAACTTTTATAATCATCATAGTTAGTGATGATGTATTAAAATTGCAGTTGGTAACAGTAAATGTTCTAATAGCTGAATCATATTAGAGATGTTGACTTCTACCAGCCTAACAGGCATTTAATATTTTCACTTACATGTTGACTTTACACTGTGACAGATTTTAAGTGAAGAGGAATTTCGAAAATGGCTCAACTTTCATCATGAGGCAGAAATAGCTATTGACAACAAAGATGAACTTTTAATGGAAGCAGCACAACATCTGGAAAGTAAACTCACCTTATTAGGTATCTTGAAGTATTTATCCATTCTAGACTAATTAACCTGATAGTCATAATTACTAATGAATAATATCTGGCCCTAAAATTACTTGGAAATGAGTCATTATTTAAAACAATTCTTACCTGTGTGATTTGTAAAGAAAGGATTATTACCATTGCTGTCTATGATACATTTATAAACTATCTAATAACATGAATCAGAAACAGATAAGTGTATTGTACAGATAATATTGTACAGATAAGTATATTGTTCTCTCTCTCTCTCTCTCTCTCTCTCACACACACACACACACACACACACACACACACATTTGACTCCTGGCAACTGCCAGGACTAATCCCTGCAGTTATCTTGGCAAGGTATCAGAAATAGTTTGTCGTTGCTTCCTTCTTAGGACTGAGAAACAGTGACTGGCCTAAGGTTACCCACCTTGCTTCATCATAAAATTGGGCTAGAACTCACAGTATCTTTTATTTATTTATATACAGACACACAGTTTAAAGGGTTCCATAGAAATTAATATAAATCAACTTATCTTAGATGTAAATTGGGGAGCCTAAGGTCTAGTTTCTCTCCAGACCTCACGGCTTTGTTTCACCATATGTGCACATATCCATGTTATAATTTGCAATGCATAATCCCCAATATTAATAAAGTTGGGCCACACATGAATTAAGCTTGGGAATCATTCTGTCATCGTATCTATGGAAATGAAAATTAGTATCTCAGTACAGGTTTAAAATTAGTGTTACCTGGTTCTGAGTCAAGGGTAGCCAATCTATCTGCCAGTTGCACCTCAAAAATCCAAAGCATGAAATGACATCATTCAGGTGTATACTACAGCACATCAGTGGTAGGATTCAATTTTTTTTACTACCAGTTCTGTGGGTGTGGCTTGGTGGGCGTGGCAGGGGAAGGATACTGTAAAATCTCCAGTCAGAGGTGGCATTTGCCAATTCTCTGAACTACTCAAAATTTCCGCTACCGGTTCTCCAGAACTGGTCAGAACCTGCTGAATACCACCTCTGCAGCACATATATCTTATACGTCATATCTTCTGAGCACTGATGTAGACAACTTTTCTTCATTGTGTTCTATGCCTGTGCCCTATGAAGGCCTCTTTGTACCAATCCAGAATTCTATAAACCTCAACTGTCAGTCACAGCTTAGCTATCCACGTTTTATGCAATAGTTTGTATTCAATATATAACGCTTAAAATTTCCAATAACGTTATATTGATCCCAGTAGAAAAGATGTTATTACTCTTTCAGTAATTATTTTCAATGTTCATTTAGCCAAGTTGTATTAATTCTGGAACATCTCAAGCCAGGGAATACGTTTTCTAAGTTTTGTGTTAAAACAATAGAAAACTTGTTTAGTAAATGGTTTTCAGTTAAGCAGGTCAGCTTTCTACTAGTTTCTCTGTTATTCTTGTGTAAGTTTTAACCTTTTAAGCTCACCCTCCAGAAGATAATAAAAAGCTAAACCAAATTTTCTTGTGCCTCATTGCTCCAAAAGTGGTGCACGTTATGTGTATAATGAATGTATCCCAACCCCATAGTGCATACAGAGCAGACTCTTGGCATACAATCCATTTTGCATAAGCCAATTGTAGGAATAAAAAAAAATGGTTTATTTTCTAAAGTCCTAAAGAAGAATCTCATGATCACAATTTTTTTGCAGAGCAATTATTGTGAAATATAAAAAAAAGTTAAATGTAGAATATAAGTCACTTTATCACATAGCAATTGTTTCCTAATTATTCCTAATTAATGGCTTAGAGCCTGGTTACTTGAGGGACCACCTGTCTCCTGCCTTATCTGCCTGGCATGCTCTGGTTTCCATCAATTAAGTAATACCCAGAGGTGTGCGTTCTCTTGGCAGCAATCAATAACGCTGATTATTTCCTTTTCATAAGGAGCAACAGGGATAGAAGACCGGTTGCAAGAAGGAGTGCCTGATACCATTGCTGCCTTCAAAGAAGCTGGAATCCAAACATGGGTATTAACTGGAGATAAGCAGGAAACAGCTGTCAACATCGCCTATTCTTGCAAACTTCTAGACCAAAGAGACACTGTCTTTACCATTAATACCGAAAGTAAGGTAGGTCCTAAAGGCCAGCAGGGAGGATATGCCATGATAGGTAAATAATTTTTTGTGCAAAAGTTTTTCAGAACAGGATTGAATTGTGGAAGGAAAAAAAGAACTGAATCCAATGGTGTATTCCTATGGAATGAAAGAACCATTTGTTCTCCCCAGAAAGCTTCCATCCCACATGTATTCGAAATCTGTTCCCTCTTCATAGTAAATTTTGAAAATGTGGGAAGTGGTGGGGAGAGGTGCAGACAATTCTCATTATATGAGTCAATCCCTGCTTGTGTACTGTACCATTGTATTCCGTGCATACTATTAGAAGCAGCCCTGTCTCACCATCTTCAGAACCCAGGGAGATCTTGTGAATGCTAGCAACAAACTTCAAGATTTTAATATCATCATGTGCCTTAGGCAGTTTGCAAAAGATCTTGTCTCCACATGCTGTTGAGGTTTTGCTTGATGCTTAATCATAGGCTTGCCATCTGTTCCTTATTTAAGGAAATTGATTCTTATTTAGAAATACTAAACTTTAGGACTAAATAAGTAATTCTTCTCTGAAATAAAATCTACTTGCCAGATAATATTTCAGTTACAAGTGATGCAATGATGAAGGTTATTTAATTCATCTGCAATATGAAATAAAACAATACATTTAGTCATGGACTATATATGCAGTAGTATTTATCTCAATGCATCAGCAGTGAACATACTGCAATTTCTTTTGAATATACACTAATGATAGCAAATACCATATAGCATCATATTTTAACCTGGTGCCTTCTAGATATCTTTATTTATGATCCCAATCATACCAGTCAATGGTCTCAGATTAGTAGCTCAGGTCACACATATGGGTAATGTAAATTGCAACCCAAAATTCAAGACTTACAGTATATTGTAAAACATGAATATACAGAGAATATACAATATAAGAATTAGCAAAGTACAAATTAACTATACATTATGAGGGGGAGTTAAAATTAGTTTGGATAATACACCACATTCTCCAATTTTGAATTGTTACTAAATATTTGATCAAGTAACTTGTTGAATGACTTCTCTAAGTCAGCACTTATGCCCTTCAATTTATGTGGTAGTCCAACAGGATGAAAGATTATAAGCAAGTTTATATAAGTTTATATTAACATATTCTGTTTAGTAACAGAAGAATTCTTGTTTGTGGTGCCATGTAGCTTCACAACTTGTTCAACTATTTTTTCCATAGGAAACTTGTGAATCGCTGCTGGATATCATGTTGGAAGAGGTGCAGAAGGGTCAAGTAATTCCTCGAAAAATATGGAGCATTTTTGGCTTTAAACTGCCATTTTCTTGGTCAACCACAGGACTTCCAAATCCGGTTATTGGACTAGTAGTTGATGGAAGAGCTCTGAGTACTATTTTCCAAGGACAACTTGAGCATAAGTTTCTTCAACTTACAAAATATAGCCACTCAGTTCTATGCTGCCGATGTACTCCCTTGCAGAAAAGCATGGTGGTCAAACTTGTACGGAATCAGCTGAAAGTGTTGACCCTTGCAGTAGGTAAGCAACATGTGCTATCAAGTCACTGTCAGTGCTTAACAACTATACAGATATCTTTTCTGCAGAACACACCGTCTCCAACCTTTCCTATCCTTTCATATTGTCTACCCATCTGGTGGTCTTGATAAAATTTAGGAATAGTTTACTATTGCCTTCTCCCATACAGTATAACATGGTGCTTTTATCTTTGTCATTGTTATTAAAATGATCAATCCTCCTACATCACTGCTGCTCAGTATAGGTGTCCGGTTGCTCTAGGATGTCCTATTCTTCCTTGAATGACCCTTCTGAGAATGTACATTATTGGCATATACTCCCAGGGATCTTTGAACATTTCTCCAAGAACCTGTACACACATCCTTGGCTGAGGCTCAAGGTCACCCAGCTGGCTTTGTACCTAAGGAGGGTCAACAATTCACAACTTGTTTCTAGTCCGGTAAATTAATTACTGCACCAAATGGGTTATCATCCATCCATCCATCCATCCATCAAACTATCCATCTATCAACAAGCTAACTATTATCTCTCTTCAGTGGGCTATAAGGAATATTTCAGTGATATCCTTGGAATGAATAGGGTTGATTTTTTCAAAAATATAAAGAATCCTTCCCAAATCTACTATTTTCCTAGCAGTGTGATCTGAGGTGGTGAATGGGGACATACAAAAATGAGCTACCCAGTCATTCACTGCTGCTACTTAGCTTGAAATGTGAAAACTAGATGTTTATTATTGTCAAGGTATGAAGCAAAACTGTCTGACTGTGCTAAATTTGGTTTCATGTCCAAGTTATTTATGGATTGTGTAGCAGTCCAAAGGGATCCCTCCAAACTAGGTGAATAGACTTTAAAATAAATAATATGACTCAAAATTAACAATTGTAGAATGGGGGAAAATCCCAATTTCACATTCAAGTAATGTGATAAGTCTGGAAATGTGAATCTGGATCAACTGTTTCCCAGGTTTTGGGCTAAGTTCAAGTGCAAGAATGGGGTCTTAGTATTGTGTTTGATATGTCAGTTAAACATAACATATCACCAAAAAAAAATTGCATGTATCTGCTGAGAAAAAGGCAAAGTTGCTAAGCAAACTTATAAAGGAATTGAAAATGAAATAGTTTTCACTGTCAATGATTTATAATAAAGTCAGCAGTGACTTGGAACAAGGTGAATGGGAAGAAGTTTATTCCCCTTGTTCATACTTCTCAAATTTAGGCTCAAGCAATGGCAAAGATTCAAGGCAAACAAAAAGAAGTATATTTTCATTTCATATCTAATGATACAAAACTGGTCTCTGACATAAACAATATAATGCAGAAAGAGAAATATGCTGAACAAATATTTTTATTGCCTTACCTACCATCAGTTCAGCCTACTTCTCAGTCTGAGAGAAATATATGTTTCATTCTTTTCTAGGCGATGGCGCAAATGATGTAGGTATGCTCCAGGCAGCTGATATTGGAATTGGCATTTCTGGACAAGAAGGTATGCAGGTATGCATAATAATTGAAGAATATCCTCTTGCCCTTGGCAACAATTGCTAAGGTACATATTCAGAATTTTTAGGTGACTGCATTCCTTATAAAAAGTGAACATAAGTATCATCTGCTTTCTGTTATAACAAGGTAAGCAATATCCTTCAGAAATCAGAGTGAAATGATTTGCTTTTATAATGAATCAAATCATTTGTATGCTTACCTTGATTATTCATTTAGGGCATATAAACTTTTCCCATACAAATGTTTCTGAACAAAGACATTGTGCAGCAGAAAAAATAAGGAAGGTTGATTAACAATAAGAAGCATCATCTGGAAACTACCCTTCCCCCGTCCTTCCTAGCGGTGTTAATTGTTTGATAGAAACATCACTGGAAGCATCCTAATTAGAATAAGATGACACCAACTTTTCTTGTTGGTTGTCATTTATGAACTATGTTGTAATCCAGTAAAACCATAGATGGATTGTCCAGCCCCTACCTCTAAGTCCATATTCTCTGTGCAGGAGTACAGTTGATGTGGAATTGTACTGGATTTCAAGTAGTACTTGAGGATGTTTTCCTCAAGAAGTATTGTGCTTTGGATTGTTTCATCCAAGGTTGTTCTTATTATTTTAGATTAGATGGGCAATTTGTGGCTCCAGAGCTACAAGGGGTTCTATAAGTGCTTGTTTGTTGCTCTCTGTTCCTCTGCTACTGGACATTTGGAGAAGAGAAACATGCACAAACAGTAGTGCATTAAAAGAAGCAACATGGCTTAAAAAAACAGAGGATCCCAAACTTTCACACAAAAATGAAGGAGAAAGGGAGAACTGTAGTTCCATCCAATAAAAGATATATTCCCACTCTCTTTCCCTCGTTATGTTAGAGTGATGTGAAGCCTCTAACTACCCAAAATTGCTTACCTTAAGTCTAACTGTCATAAGATCACTTTCTTATGAATTAAATTGTCATACTGGGCTTGGAAATGGAGAGAGATGCAGTTTCATAATGAAAGTCTAGCACACTCATTTGTAACTTATCTTCCAGTGATATTAGTGTGTAACTTCAGAATTCCCAGTTAGCTTTGGCAACAGTTGTCTGGGAATTCCAGAAATGATAGTTAAACATATCTAAAAAGCAACAGCTTTGGAAAAGCTGCCATTGAATAGTTTAACATTAAACCAGAGACGTATTTCCCACTCTTGGCTTTCATTATTTTGACTTTTGCCTGCAGTCCTGATTTATGTTGGATCAGTAAAACTTGAAAATATAAATTGTATCATTTTATATATGTTCTCCATTTCAGGCTGTCATGGCCAGTGATTTTTCAGTATCTCAGTTTAAACACCTGAAGAAGTTACTTCTAGTCCATGGACATTGGTGCTATTCTCGCTTGGGAAAGATGGTGCTATACTTTTTCTATAAAAATGTGGTATGTGCCTTAACTTTTTATTTCATCCTGCATGCATGCCATCCATTATTGCTTGTAACAATTGGGACAAGTATTGTTCATAGTTATTTGATTGGAGCCGTGTGCCAACAGCTTACAAATTCCAAAAAATATAATAAGGAAACTTTCCATAATCTTGAACTATTTAAGAATGAAAGAATATTTTGATTAAATGGATTGATTCATAAATTGATTAATAAATGGATTCATTTCAGTTGGATCTATAGGCTGACAATGACTTAATGTGATGGGAAAGCTATGCTACCAATAGATGACCATACTAGTCAGCTTTAGACATATTGAAGGAAATTCAGTTGGTCATCTATATTCTCAGAGTAGACATTTCAATCATGCAATTAACATGCATCTCTTGGGATCTGGAGCCACTAGCACCTCCAAAGTAGGGGGGGGGGGGTAAAAAGAACACAAGATGGTAGCATAATTACACAAGATACTGCCACATCATGGCACATAATCAAAGCCAGAGTTTCTTTATATGGCTATTGCAATGTACTCTGTATACAAAATTGTAGATAAGAGAAAAGGGGGCAGGGAGAGAGAGAAATAGAGATGATAGATAGATAGATAGATAGATAGATAGATAGATAGATAGATAGATAGATAGA